CAAGTGTCGGAGAACGACGGAAAACTGGTGAACTTTGCGTCGGGTGTGACCACCATCACGTTACATTTTCAGAAAAACAATGAGTGATTTTTACGTGCAGTTGATGAGCAATGCCAGCACCGCCGAATTCCCCGACAACAAGGCCAACAGTTTCAAGAATCGTCTGCCCCATCCACTCACGTTCGACGACAAGGAGTGGAAAGTGGGGTTGGCTAGCATTTCGTACCCGACACCCCCGTTGCGTCATCCGACTGCAACACCAACCTTCAAACCGCATGAGGTTGTCTGTACGTTCAGTTGGACCATGATTGGACACACCAAAGACAGCTCCGGGTCCAGTGATCCGACTCCTTTTCGAATGCAATTAATCATCAAAGGCGATGACCTGATCGAGGATGGATTCAACATCACAAGCGGTAAATCGTTCATGCAGTACCTCGTTCATCGATTGCAAAGTAAATTGACATTGTTTGAGACTTCGAATGGAGAGAGCTTGCGGTCTAAAAATGGAAAGAAACTATACCACGTCTTCAGATGGGAAGGGGACGACCTGATCCTCGACAATAGCGACACTGAACTCACCGTTGTGCCTGGATCCTCAGGATCTATTGAACGTCCGGAAGTGATTTTCAGTAAAAAAGTTGGCTCTGGATATGGGATGGATAGTGTTTGATACGGCGACTAATGCTTACGATATGAATGGAAATCTCATGAAAGTGTTTTCCAATGATGCAGTCCCCTCCGTTGTGCACGTGGATTGGTCAGCGGGGGATAACGCTGGTGGATGGAGTCCCTTCTGGAAATTCTCGGACGAAGACTTACAACTAGGCTGCTATTGCAACTGGCGTTTCATCTATCTGGACGAAGCCTACCAGAAATCCTATGGTGATATCGTTACATCGAATGCACCTCATCGCAGTCCCATGTACGTGTATTCGAATGTCGGGCGCAGTACGATCACAGGGAATCACATGACGGATCTGTTGAGAGAAATAGCCCACAACCCTACCATCATGAGTTTCGAACCCGTCCACGTTCATTATAAGTTCGTACGCAGTAACCTCATGGACATTCTCGAGACGCAAGTGGCCGAGAACGACGGAAAATTGGTGAACTTTGTGTCGGGTGTGACCACGATCACCTTACACTTTAAACATGAATGAAGAATTTTACTTGTCTTTACCCAGTCACAGCAACCGGCACGAGTTTCCGAGTAATCGCAGTAATAATTTCAAGATCCGTTTACCCAAACCCATACATTTGGATGGGTCTGGCTGGCAAGTGGGATTGAGTGCCATTTCCCTCCCAGACGTCAACATCGACTTATCTCGATACAAGGAAGTCACCGAACCTCTTTTGAGAGTGAAATGGTTTCAATTGCAAGACAGAATAAAAAGAAGGAGATGCCGGTCTTGTCTCGGCTACCACTACGGAGGTGTATTTACACGAAATCTACCAATACGGCAAAATACGAAACGGGATCGATTCTTTTAAAGCTCTCATTTTCAAGTTTGAACAGAAAAAGGGAGAGGCTCTACCGTGCAACTGGGACACGTTGACCTTGAGTGACAAGCGTTTGGATCCCATTTTTCGATGGAAAAGCGAGGATTTGATCTTGGACAATTCCTTGCTGGATCTGAATGTCATAAGGAACAAAGTGGCTCCTTCGGATGACGCAATATATGCGTCTCCCTTTGAGATCTCGTTTGAAAAGCATGTGGCTGTGGATTTTGGTTGGGTGTCGGCCAAAAGGGATGGAACGCCCATACTGGGACCCAACATGCTGATGGAATATGACAACCAAGACGTGATGGAAGTGGAAAAATTCTTCATGGAAAATGGTAGCATAGGAATTATGAGTGGATCCCGCGGTAAGATCAAGGACATTATCAAGGACGGTGTCATCAAAGAGAGGGTCACGAGGAGGTATAGCAAGATACCGGAACCGTTTGACACGGATGAAGTGGACCCTAAGAGCCATGCTGGAACCGTTCCGACCTCGGCTAGATTCTGGCGAGAGACCACCAAGAAAAATTCGTCAGAGAATCGCATTCACTTGAGCGGTGTCTGCAGCTGGAGGTTCGTGAACATCAAGAGAGCCTTCGAAGACGTGGTAGGTGGCCTGTCTCGTTCCCTGTTCATCTACTCGGATGCCGGAGGAAGTACTGTGGTGGGGAATCGAATGACAGATTTATTGCGTAAAGTGAAGTTTTCGAGTAAAGGAGAAGGTAGTCAGTACTTCGAACCGGTGCACATCCAATATATTCCGGTACGCAAACAAGTCGTGGACATTATAGAAGTGAATGTGGCTGAGACCACTGGAGAATTGGCGCGACTAGGATCGGGGAACACGATACTCACGTTACACTTCAAGAAAACATGATCGGAGGAACTTTGATACGGTTTCATCCCGATGGATACCACAAGGGCGGAGGAATATTCGGTCAGGTTTGGAAAAACATCAAGACCCGAGGTCCTACCATTCTCAAGGACGTTCTGAAAGAGACGGCCGTGGAAGGACTGAAAGGTTTAAATGCGGGTGGCAAAGGAGGAAAGCCCAGTTGGAAAGGTGCACTCGCCGGGGTTAAGTGAGGAGCGACACGAGCCGTCAAACGTAAAGCGACGCAAGAGATCCAACGAGTGTTGGGCGGTAAAAAATCTCGAAAATACCTGTTTGGACCATGATTCCCATCTACTTGAGACGCGTGAGACGTGTCCCTGGACGACGCACGTATAAAGGTGGTACGATATTCCCCACCCGATCACTACTTCCTGACTATCGTTGGATACAGTCTGCACTGAGAAGGAAACGACGACGCCGTAAACGATGACGGACCTGGTGGCTCATGCCCGGTCGGCGGGGGTACGAAACCCCCGCCTGGACATGTTCCATGTCCCTCCCACTGATCTCAGCATGTCCTCTCGACGTTTTGTGAAAATCAGTCCGTTCAATGCGGGAATCAACCCCGTGACCTTCCAAGTGGATCCGCAAGAAGACTTTATCGACTTGAACGAAAGTTTCTTCGAAGTGGAATTGAAAGTTAGGAAAGATAATAATACAGATCTGTTGTGGGCTGATTTAATAGGATTGGCCAATAATTTGGCACACACCCTCTTCAAGCAGATCAATGTGAGATTGAATGGCACTCTCATCAGCCCCCTGACCGATACTTACCACTACAAAGCCTACATCGAGACGCTGTTGAACCACGACCGAGACGACGGTGAAACGATTCTCACACCCAATGGTTGGTATAACAGTCTCGATGAACCCGACGACGGAGATGCCGATGAATTCACAGCCAATATGCTCGATCATGCTACACCACACGCTGATTACGTTGCTTTGGATGCTCAACACAAAGCCGAAGTGGACGGGCGAGTACAGTTCCTTGATGGGAAAGCTGTCACCATGCGGTTCAAACCTTACCTGGAAGTCTTTCATCTCAGCAAGTTACTGGTACCTGGCGTGCAGATCGCAATCGATATGTACTTCAATGCCCCAGCTCTGTGGACCATCCGATGGGATGGAGGCCGTACCCTCACACTGACTAAAGCCAACGTGAAAGTGAAACTGTTCCTGGCTCAAGCGAGAGTGACTCCCTCGGTGTACCGAGAAATCATGTCCGACATGCAAGGTGAAAAAGTGGTCACTTATCCCACGGTGAGAGGTGAAATTCGCACCTATTCTCATCCCAATGACAATCGTCACTTTGAGTACAGCAATCCTTTCCACAACAAGCTGCCTAATCGGTTGGTGGTGGTGTTGATGAAACAAACACCCTTCAATGGAACTGTGACGGTCAATCCGTTCACTTTTAAAAAATTCAATATCTCTTCCATCAAACAATTGGTGAGAGGTGAAGAGTACCCCTACGAGACATTGGAGCTCCAACACGATGGGGACAGTAAAGATCAGAGTGGCTACTACAGATTCCTCCAAGCCTCAGGAGCTTTGTGTCGGGGAAAAGGAAACATGGTCAGAAAAGAGGACTGGGGGCACGGCAAGAAATGCAACATGTTTGTATTTGATAACACGGCCAATAGATGCTTGGACAGTCCAGTGTTGAACCCCAAGCAGGAAGGTGAGCTGCGTCTGGTGATCGAGTTTGGAGCTAATCCAGGAGCAAACCTGACCATCTTTTTGTACGGCGAATTCGAGAACTTGTTGGAGATCAACGAGAACCGAGTCGTCGTCTACGACGTGTACCGGTGAACAGAAAATGGAGAAAGTGGCCCTGAATAATCTACAATTGGATCATTTGGCCCGAAGGCATCCGACACTCTGTCGCGTCTTTTACGGAACTGTACCCTGCGATCGGCTTCCCAAGACACTGCCTCAGGAAGGACCGACCGCATACATCGTGAACACGGACCCTCACGATAAACTGGGCATGTATTGGATCGCTTTGTGGGCCGACAAGGACAAGTGCGAGATCCTGGACAGTTACGGTCTGCCGTTGGAGGTGTACGGAACCGCCGAACCGCTCCGAGAATGGTTGGACCGTCATTTCAAGTACCACATTTTCAACGGCCAGAGTTTACAGTCACTCTTCAGTCAAAGTTGCGGCGACTACGCCTTGATGTTCCTGATCGACCGAGCCGAAGGTCGTGACATGGACGCGTTTTTGAATCGTTTTAAGAGAAACGACTTTGTAGAGAACGATCATAAAGTAGGACAGATGTTAAAACGTTTGGTCGTGGACGAGTTGATCTGGCGCAAGATTTGTAAAACCCCGTGTCACCAGGACACGCGAGGTTCCTCTAGAGGAGT